TATAGAACTGTACAGTGCAAACACAAGTTTTCTTCAGGTTTGGCCAAAATAACAAACAGAACCCACACTAACTCAGAAATACTAACAAACCTTAACCAAAACAAAAGGATAAACAAAAGACAAACAGCTTACCTGACTGGCTGACTGGCACGAAACACAGACAAAACCCAAAACTTATACAACTACTGTGCTTGTTCCACACGGACGTGCTCAGAAAAGCATATTGTGATATGTTGTATGATGTATAATGATAATATACCATATTGCCCTCCCTAGTTGTCAATCACAATTTTATTAGCAATCAAATAATCCAACTATTATTTCACAGTTCCTCAAGATATACGCCTTTCTGAAAGCCAAAAATAGACCTTACTGAACAGTAAAAAACTATGCATCAGTTTTCAGAAAATCCAAAATACTTTACTGGAAAAGAGAGAATTAGGAAGGCTTAAAATATAATTGTGAAAATATAGCAGCTGTTCATATTATTAAACAGTATTAAATGTTTTTGGACAAAATGTCCACTTTATAAGTGGTTTTTACTCATTTACCACATGAGTCACGTTCGCAATATGAGCTAAGGACGATAACTGGCCATCCAGAATCACACCAAGACTTCTAGCATTTTTTGATGGAATGACCAAAGGGTTCTCAAATGAAATATCAAGATCATGGTAAGGACCTGTAATTACAGGGATGAATAGCAGCTCAGTCTTGCTAGGATTGTGCTTCAGGTGGTGAGCTGCCATCCATGAAGAGAAACCTGAGTGTCAGTTGGTGGAAAGGAAAGCATTACTTGGGGGTCAACAGCATAGCAGTGGTAGGACAAGCCATGAGAGGATATTACATCTTCAAGAGAAGGAGTATACAGTAAAAAGAGAAGAGGACCCAGCACTGAGCTTTGTGGGACACCAGCGGAGAGTCTGCATGGAGTGGATGTGGACCGTCTCTATGTTGCCTGATAAGAGTGACCCTCCAGAGAGGACTCAAATCACTTCCGTTTGGCTGGTCTTTTTGCCAGGAGCTTCTCAGTCATTGCTATGAGGGCAGTTTCTATCGAGTGTGCCAGTTTGAAGCCAGATTGATTGGTGTCCTGGAACTGGTTCTGAGTAAGAAAGTAGGAGACAGAGACAATTAATTATAGACTGCATGTTTGAAAATTTGGTAGCTGTTGACACCGTTGGAACCGTCAAGCACGAGCTTCATCAGGATGGGAACCACCCTGGCAGTCTTGAATGCTGATGGACCATTTCCTCATGACAAGGAGCTGTTTATAATGAATGTGATGAAGGGTCATGCAGATCGACTGGAGCAGCGTGGATGTCCAGTGGGCAAAGACAAAGATTTGCCACGACAATGGTGGGGTTCTCTAGATCTGTAGGATGTGCATATAGGTATTGAAAAACATGTTGGAAGTGCAAAAAATGCAGCAATTAGAGGTGAAGAAATAAATGAAGAATACTGAATTATACTTAGCCAAGACTGAAGGGTCCCTTCTTTGTGGTTGATAATGAATGGAAAAGCTACAGGGTTAGTGTTGCTAATTAAAAGTGTAAGTCAATAGTTTCCCAATTTTTGTTCTGTAAGTAAATACCCAAAACGTCTCTTAACTGCACCCAGGTCTTCATTAAGATTGCACAGACTTGGTGGTGTGGTTTACGACACAGTATAACGGTGTAATGCATTGCAATGCACAGTGTGACAGTGCATAGTGGAGAAGGTTGTTTTGTTGATTAAGCCATGTAATAACTCTGCATTGTTTCATTAGATGCCATAATTGTTTGTACCAAAACTCACCAATGTCCAACATCAGTCAACAACCCACTCCAGCAGGTTCATGTCAACAGTACCACCTTTGTGTCTAGTCTGCATTACCACCTGCAGCATTATGTCAATACCTGTGACCAATAGAAACCAAACAACAAACAAAACTAAAAATGCCTGCTAACAAAAGTTGTAATTAAGAATACATTTTCAGTTCAATAGGCTAACACAGCTTAGTAAACTCTCAGTGTGTGCTTTGTTTTAATGTCCAGCCCCAGTCCAGGTTCTAAGAGCTGCTGTTATAGAACTCCAAATCCAGTTAAAATCCAGGTGTAATACAGTCTATGTAGTTCAACAAAGACTGTGCTCCAATTGTAAAGACGTCATATTAGCTAAACACATAAAAGCATTTAAAATGTGACTTAAATCCAGCAATTTTTAGAGTGCATGAGACGCTCCCACCTAGTCTTATCCATTATCTCTGGGGGGGGTCGATCAGCCAATCAGCTGGCCAGTATATTGGGCTAATATTCATATTTTTGGAGGGTACTGGAATTAGCTAGTAAGACAATCACATCGCACTTTTCAGATACAACAGGGTCTTACAGTACAGAAATTATGTGTATGATGTAGAGTGTCTCTAAACTAAATTACACCCAGCAGCCAAATACAGAAAAAAGAAAGTTTTTCTGTGGTTCTGTTTAACAAATATGCCTACAGCTCCTGCTAACTTGGCACTTAGATCACAAATCTGTTACTGGTGTGAGGGTAACTGGATAAATAAAAGCTGCAACCACCATAAAAGTGATAGAGGGCATAGTTTCTGCATTAACACTTAGAACCCAAAGCCTGCGTTTTGCAGGAAACATGCATAGCTGCTTCTAGCCTTCACAACCTCATAACATTTTAAGCAACAGACATGGCTCACATATCAGATCACTCAGCAGACCCGGTCCTCACTAGCCAGTATGAGATCACTGAGCAGTGACATCAGCATCAGCGAGTAATCCGCCTCAAAAAACATCTAAAATCCTCATATTAGCAGTCTGCATTTAGCCTTTATACTGCAACAGATGATTAAAACAGTGGCATGATTTACACATCACAGCACCCAGCAGACCATGCAGTCACTAACTAGTATGCCAGCCTTCAGATATCCAGCTTCAAAATCACCCAGAATCCACTCACTACCATCATTTTAGCTTTCTGCTTTGGGCCATTTACATTATAACAGTCTTTGTACCCTGTGAAGTATCCAAACCCACCACCAACCAGGGAACAGCTGGACTGATGTCATGCATAGGCTGGGTCTAATCTTGGCAAGTGATAGGTGTGACAGACATGACCAGGTAGGGATAGACAAAACATAGGGGGATTTCTCTGCTGTTAAACATAGCGGTGGGTCATTTTTGACAGTTAAGACAACACAAGGTGTGTGTGTGTGTGTGTGTGTGTGTGTGTGTGTGTGTGTTCGTGTGTGCGTGTGCACACATTCTGCTGTAGGTCCGCTGGTGCAATATGGCTGCTACTTTACATCGTTTTTCCTTAGTTTTGTATTGTTTGTGTGTTTGTTTTGATGTTTGGCTGAGAAGTTTGCCATCATATCTACTGAGATAGTGGCCAAGAGTGACTTTCCCACTGTGGCTCAGAGGCTTATTGGACTGGCTGTTTGGGTGACACTACATCTCAGCTATGATGCAGCCTGGACCGGGCACCTGAGTATCACGGCTACAGGGCTTTTTTGGACTGGGGACCTGATCGACGTGACATTGCTCCCTGGGCCGGCCGCTTGGTTGATGCTGCACTGCAGCTGTGGGGCTGCCTGGACTGGTAGTGTTCGGCTGCATGAGCAGCGCTACACCGCAGCTACGAGGCCTGAGTGATGATGATGACGAGGGTTAACTGCACTGTTCCTTGGGCTCTCATTCTCTGAAATCAGGTCTTACTCTTCCTGCACACCTCATCTTGGTTATACACGACACTACTCACAGCAGTTCAGTAAAACCAGAATAATCCTACCTGGAGTATTAAGCAGGATGATCAGTGATAGGATTCCACATTTGATATCCCTGGTTTCCACTAGAAACCTTCCCAGTTTTCCCAGTCAATGCAGACCAGAGTGGTCTGTCCTGAGAAGACAAAGACACAGAGACTAAAACTAATACAGTGACTATGACTAACAGAGAGTAAGACTAAGACTAATACAGAGAGATACAGTTCTATGTGTAAATCCTGTGGATAGCGACTGGTGGAGCTACCATCAGCGTTGCCGTTTTGGGTACCAGACTAAAGCCTTACCTGGAAACAGACATCCTGGTGGGAGAGAAACCAGTGAGTAACACAAGTATCAGATTTTTTTGCTTTCAGCATCCATTGTAGCAGAACAGGGTCAGTCATTACAGAAAAAGTTCTACTTAAGCGATGACATCTCATTTCATCTGCGGCCGATTTTACGGCCAAGACCTCCTGCTTGACTTTCTGGGTAATGAACAGGATTATGTGTTTCTCCTTTTTGAAATCCTGGCTGGGGACTTCCACTACTCTCACATTGGAGGAATCAGTCTGGATGATGAAAAGGCTGAAGTCAGGGTTTCTGAGGATCTATGAGGAAGTGAGAATGCCCTGCAGTCACTGGCAAGTCTCTTCGGTGACAGCAGTTCATGGCACTTTCTCCCGCTGACCTTGTCAAGTCAATTCTGATAGAGGATAGGCTATTGAGGAGAAGTTAGGAACAAAGAACCTGCAATGTCGCACCAACCCCCCCAAAAAAAGCACTTACTTGGGTCTTTGTGTTGGTTCTGGGACAGCATTGCATGGCAGCGACCAGTTTCTCCTGTGAGCCATGAACTCCATGGCTGATTTACATTTACACAGATATTGAGCTTCTGAGAGTCCAAGGAGGCATGTTTTGAGTTAGTGATGACAGGTTTCAGAATGGATGATCTCATACAGAACTCTGAAGGATATTTCTAACATGGTCCATCAGCCACTGGAAAGGGGCCGGTGCTCTATAGAGGCTGCACAGCAGAACCCAGTAATCCCACCAACTTAAGCATTTCCCACTATAATATAGTTTATTTTCCTGTGTTAGCAAAGTATTATGGATTGTGGTTTTGTTTATTGTTGATTAAGTATAAAACAACAGTAAATGAGGGGAAAGATTTTCTGTTTTCACTTTAACTCTGAGCACAGAAAAAGGAAGGAAGTTAGAGTGGAACTGCAGTAGCTCATATTCACGCATGACAAAAACACACTCACACACTCCTCACAGCTCAGTTCAAGTCAACTTGAGAGGAGTGAAAGAGTGAAAAGTCTTCGAAATAGATTGTAAGTAACATTAACATTTTCTTTACTGGAACCGTTCTATGTGCAAGTTATTATATAACCATAAGTAATATATTTTTTTAAATACTGTTAAGTGTGAAGGTTTGGGCACTGTGGTTAGTGTTAGCGTCAGTTTACTTCTGAACCTGATCTGAGCTCAGCCAGATAGAACAATTATTGTGGGCTATTTCTGCAATTTCTAATTTTTAATCGGAATCACCATGACTAAGTGACAAGATGCTTGACAGAACAACACTTTGAGAAGGGAGTCTAACACAGACCTGTCTTTTTCTTTCTATTTGCATTTACCTGTGTTTGATGTAGGTATAAAATATTAAGAATTACTCAAAACTGCAGATAGTCTTGTTCAAAGTGCACTCATTTCCTCTTTCTGCTGACATCAGATGAGGTGAAACCATGAGTTTCAAATGTGGAATCCTATCACTGATCATCCTGATGAATATTACAGGTAGGGTTATTCTGATTTTGCTGTTGTGTTTAGTCTAGTTTGTACAGTTTATAACCAAGATTAGAGCCCAAAAGAAAATGTAAAAAAGGCTCTTTAAAGAAAAGGATTATATCTTAAGTAGACATGTGCCTCTATTCAATAATTCTTTATGCTTTAAAGTAGATTGTTACACATATCAGCTCTGGTTTCACAATCTCCCACCATGTTTTCACACTCTGATCATGTGTTATGCTCCTTACTCTGAGTGGATCAGAGAGCTGCTAAACAAGCACAGTGATCACAGTGTAAACAAGTGCTCTGAAAATATGATAAAAATTGGTTGTTTATTATTATAAATATTGTTTGTATTTGTATATAAATTTTGTATAGAAATTTTGCAGGATATCTGCTGCTAATAGTTTCATACAATACTAACAAGCTAATACAATCAAAGACAGGCTTTCAAACCTGAACTAAAGCACTCTGTGTAAACCTCAAAGAAAAACATGCCACTTGAATGCTACTAGCTTCAAATGACTATTTTTAAATTAGAACAGCCACAAAACATGAACATATACAAAAGTCAGCTTTGTGCTAAGATTACATTCAGAACCTCATAGGTATTCCAGCAAGAATTAGCATTATGTTAGCAGTGGAAATCTCATAATAACTGCTACTTAAAAAAATAAATCACTATATTTGACTCTCAGGAAAAACAAAATTAAAAAGTCAGTCAGGTGAGTGCAGTAATGTATTTTACTGCATCTTCCTAATAGTGGTTAGCTCTAGTGTTAGCTCTATTGTTAGCTTTAGCCTGAGCTAAGCTGAATGTGCAGTCTTTGTCACTCAAATCTCCCCCTTGTCAGATGATGACCTGTGTTTGCATATTGGAAAACAATAACCTCTTAGATTTTAGGACACCTTGCCTCACACTTGCTTTTCATGTCTTCAAAACAAATTCATATTTTCCAAAAAGGGTTTCAGCTCCTCCTTATCTCTTAAACAGATGCAGGAAATCCACTAAAGTGACAAATTTTCCAACTTTGACCAATTTGTGCATAAATATGGAACTGAAATCCACTATGCTGACAATTTTTACACTGACCGAAAAATGAAAAATGCCTAGAACATACACTGATGAAGAAACCATGGAATACACCCTGAAAAATGCAAAGATCAGTGGTTCATAGTCCTGGTCCCGTAGATCCCAGAGTTCCCTGCTTTAACTCACACAGTTCACCTCAGAAAGAGCTTGTTAATTATTTCACTAGTTGCTTCAGGTGAAACTCTAAAATGTGCAGGGCAGTGGTACTCCATGAGCAGGAATGAGATCCATTGGAACAGATAATAGACAAATAAGACATTGCAAAGCTACAAAGAGTATAGGAACTATATAGACAGAGGCATTGTGACACCAAGGCACAGGTAAACATGATAGTACAGGATGGAAAAGGTTACATACATAAGTAAAAATCTCAAAAAGAGAAGAACATAGATGTACAAACATCAGCTCCTATGCTGATACATGCTTCATGTACTACAATGTCTCACTGCAGTTTTGTAGGATACTCAGTACTCAAGTTGATAAAATTACTAGTGGTGAAATACAATGTTACTAATGTTGCATACAATATCTTGTAAACTGTCAATGACCAGAGTGCATCTAAAAACTGACAGGCCACAGGGAAACTTCCCAGGCCTGTTCACATGCAATCGAGAGGGAAGCATTCTAATTTAATACACCTGATCCAGGTGATGAAGGTCTTCAGGGGCCTCTGAATATTAGAGTCAGATGTGTTGGAACCAGGATGGTAGATCTCCAGGACCAGGACTGAGGAAACCTGTACTAAGGGGTTTTGCTGCAAGTGGTAGAAATAAACTGATAAAAATCAAAATGCTATTCAGTAAAATTCTGTAAGGCTGTGAGATGTTTTGTCCTGCAGACTCAGTGATTCACACTGTTTCAGTTTCAGGTTCTTTGGGTGAGACTCTGAGAGTGACCTGCAGTCCTCAGACTAATTGTGCTCTGCGGGAATCAACAGTGACCCTGCAGTGCTCTCACTCAAACACCAACATCAGACCTCAGGACAGCTTCTGGTTCAGCCCCAAACAAAAAGCTAAATGGAGGAACGAGGAAGATCCAGAGGATTTAGCTTTAGACTCAGACTACGCAGGACGAGTGAGATACAAGACCAATAGATACAGATACAGCTCAACTCAATACATTACAATATCAGACCTGAGAGCGAGAGACTCAGGAGAATATCACCTCATGGTCATTACAGAAACAGGAGAGAATTATTCCAGCTCAACAGCAGTTACTCTAACAGTTTCAGGTAATACAGCTCTGCTCAGTCAGTTCAACTGACTTTGTGATGCAGACATATATGTACATGATATTTGCTGGAATGTTTTTACATTTATTTCCACTCAGATCTGCAGATGAAGATGACTTCTAAAACTGAACAGCAGATGGAGCTGACCTGTAGCTCTTCATGCAGTCTGACCTCTAAACCTTCTTATTACTACTGGTACAAAAATGGACAATATCAGCTCTCAACAAATGAACATCAGAAGGTTTTGAGTTCATATAGTGGTGCTAATCCTGGCAGCTACACCTGCTCTGTTAGCAGCCATGCTGAAATCCGATCCAATCCAGTGTGTGAGTATGAAAGCTGTTCGTATCTAATTGTTCAGTACCATTAAAAACAAAAACAGTGACAATCTTTTACTTTTACAGGTGTTTTTGATAAGAACTGCTGGAGTGTGACCTACTCAGACAGAAGAGTCTGTGCTTTGGAGGGTTCATCAGTGGACTTTCCCTGCACTTACTCATATCCCAGAGATCAGACAGTTACTAAAACATTCTGGCATAACTTTGGGTTAACAGATCTGAGTGTGGATGAGCAGTTTGCTGGTCGAGTGGAGTTTCTTGGAGATAAAGAGAGAAACTGTGCTCTGAGAATGAACAATCTGACTAAGAGTGACTCTGGAGAATATCACTTTAGATTCATCACTGATACTGCAGGAGGGAGTTTCTCTGGTTATCCTGGAGTCATTCTGAGTGTTACAGGTATCTGTCCACACCCAACTGTAACTAAGGTTCTTCCTACTTACTGTGCTGTATGTTTCAGAATATAAAAAATGCTACACTTCCTGTTTATTTGCATGTTCAGATCTTCAGGTGAAAGTGAGTCCCACCACTCCTTTAGAAGGACAGACAGTAACACTGACCTGTATCTCCACCTGCACTCTGCCCAACAACACCACTTACATCTGGTACAAGAATGGACAGCCTGTAACTAACAAACCCACCAGATACAACAAGCTCTACCTGGAGTCAGCAAGCACTGAGGATGTTCTCCAGTACTCCTGTGCTTTAGGAGGTAACAGTTCTATGTAGGCCTGATATGATTTGTGAACTTTCTGTAAAACTCTTCCAATTTCACAACTGTAGCTACATAAGAATGCATCTGTAAGCAAAGCATGGATAGTTTTATTATAGCATTGAATTATAATCCAAGTACAATCCATTTTAAAGGAACACTTTATCTATCATCCTTTATAATTCAATAATTTCAATGTATCATGTGCTGGTTTATCATAACTATAAAGTCAAGCCTCAGAAGTAACATTTCTCCGATTCTGCTACTGTGACTGATCATGTAGCTGATGGTTTATTTGTGATGGTTTTGAAGGTCCAGAGGACAGCGCAGTGTTGATGCTCATCACAGTGGGCGTGGCACTCTTTCTGATTCTATTGCTCATCGTAGGATGGATGTGGATACGGTTTGTGAACTGTCAACATAATTTTGAACATCACTGACAATTTAATGCAGGTTTAATCTTATTTGAGTGCTCATTGTTTATTTCTCAGGAGAAGGAACTCTAGCCCAGGTAAAGGACTTAGGAGTGCTGAAGAGAGTGGACAGGTGAGAACATAATAGGACAAAACAGTGCTATGTCGCTACAACAATGAACTTACTTCTGGATTGATAACACTGGTAGCGCTGCAATAGGACAACAGAATTTTATACCAATACTGATATTTATTTGGCAGTTATTAAAACAGAGCTTTTCTCTACATATTTGTTATTAAATACTGGTAAAATCTATGCTCCTCATGTAGCCACTTTTGAGACTGATAAACCTGTGTGCTACTAAAGCTGTTCTATTACAGTTAAGTTCTATTTTAAACTGATCTTCTCACTCCAAGAATGTCACCATTTGACTGGACTGCAGGGTTTAATGCAAAAAAACAACAACAATAATTATAAGTAGCCTTTTATTTTATCTGCTATGATAATGCTAATAGTTGTTAAGTTAGCCCCAAGCTAATCATGCATCCACTAGGTTTTAAACCTGAACCAGTATGTTGTTGGGCATCTGCATTAGCTGGTTCTCTGATCCTGTTTCCTGGCCAGAAATGGGGATGAGGGGAACTTTTACTCTAAGAAATCTCAGAGGCAGGGCTAGCTGCTCTGAGGTGATACTCAGTCATGTCAGCATGCTTTCACTGCAGTAAAATCATACTGAGAAAAATCATAAGCAAGGTGGAACAAAAATGGCAGCATTTATTATTTATTAGGTTTCAAATTAAACTTAACATTAAATAATGAGATTTGGTAAGCAAATTGTAGTTTTACCAACAGATTTTTTGTTGCACCTTTTCACTTCTTAAAGGCATATGGACCCTATTTCACCCCAAAACATCTGCAATTCCTGCCTTAAATACAAAAATAATTTAAATGATCGACCATATTTTGGTTCAGTCTGTTCCATTTGTATTTATCACCACTTAAAATGAGCTGCTTCTACTGCTGACTGGATGAGTCATCAGTATAGAAGTACAGTTTACAAATATACTGATTTGGTCTATAGAGGAGGGACTGTATTCCAGCGATATGACCAGTCAGTGAGTTGGTCTGTAGTTGCTCAAGTTGCATGTTCAAAGATTCTTAACTTGACTCAAATTTGTTGTGAGCTGACTTGCAATTATATTTGGACTCTAGATAAAAAAAATCCAGCTTGAGAAAAAAATTAATGGAGATTAAATTATGATTAACTTTGATGTAATAAATTAATAAAACTTTTCCTTTCCAATCTTTGTAAATTTGTGCAACATGATATTGCTTCAAAAATGATCCCATTTAATAAAAACCATTTAATATTTTAGTAAGTAACGGATCACATTCCCCAAAACGTACACTTTTTACAATGTAATTCCTATGGCTAATAACAATATGATACTTAACTACAGTTCACTACTAAGCATGTGATACTCACATGCATTACGTTAACTGAGAAAATAAGAATCTCTTCTGCATATACTGTAAAAATGATCTTTTGGAAAGTGAAGTAATCTTAAATGTAGGCAATACATATGCAGTTTGATGCAAAGCTTTTGCACCTCACTAAGTTACTACTTAATAACACCCTATTTGGCAGATATTACAGCTTGCAAACATCCAGCTATGAGACGTTCTATTCTTGATGTAGGAATTTTTACCAACTCCTCCTTGCAGAAAGCTTTTAATTCTGTAATATTCTATGGCTGTCTTGCATGTCCAGCATGTATCTATCCACAGATTTTCAATGATGTTCAAGTCAGAGAACTGTGAGACCCACTCCAAAAGTCCATGGTGTGTTTTGGATCACTATCCAGCCTCATTTCAGCTTCAGTTTCTTGTCACGTTTGCTTCCAGAATTTGTAGATACTTAGCAGAATCCAGTTTTCTATCTAAATTTGCAGGTTTCCAGGGCCCTCAAGCACAACCCCAAAGCATAACAAATCCACCTCCAGCTCCAGTTGGCAAGATGTTCTTTTCATCCAATGCTGCTCTTTTTTCACATCTGGTGAATGTAGCCAAAGAGTTCACTTATTACTTAATCAGTCCACAGCACTTGTTTCCAAAATGCCACTGGCTGATCTACATGTTGTTTTCCATGCTTTAGATTTTGACTTGTGTGATGAGGTTGCAGGTCAGGTTCCTTCCGATGACTCTTCCAAGCTGATCATGTTTGTGCTGCACAGTAGAACAGTTCACCACCACTCCTGTGTCAACCGTCCTGCAGGTTCTTTGCTGTCATATGGGACTTCATTTGCCTGTCTGGCCAGCAAACCAGCAGTTCTATCTATGTGTTGCCCTGGTCTTGCAAATCTCACCTTGATTTCCAAAGTTCCCCTTAAAAGTCATTTCTCAATGATGTACAGTAGAATTGAGCTAGAAGTGTTTTGATATATTTTAAAACTTTATTATACTTTGTAGGCATCAGTTAGCTTTATTTTCAGATCCTCTGCCACCTGCTTAGTGGAACCAGTTGTTGAGTATTAGCACAATGTTTGAAGAGACTTTATTACTCTCTGGAGTTGTCATTTCATAATGACAATCTTGACCTGCCTAACCAGTACTAACATGTCAATTAAGGTGTAACTGGAATGGTGTCCAAACATTTACACAATCTACAATTACTATTTTATTTTTGCTATTTTTTAAGTTTATCAAATACAAAGTAACTGTGCATCAAAATTTCCATAAAAATGACATAAAATTAGTTAAGAACTGTTAACTTCTTTTTATTTCAAAGATCAGTAAAATATATAATTTAGCAAGTGGTGCCCAATATTTGCTTGAAACTGTATATCTCATTGTTATAACCATAAAATTATTCAACCTATTTCAATAGATTGTGCAATGCATTAAGATAATTACACTTAATAAAATAATAATGTGTATAAGTACAGTCAGGTCAATAAACATTCTTATGCTGTGCTCTCTCTCTCTCTCTCTCTCTCTCTCTCTCTCTCTCTCTCTCTCTCTCCCCAGTGTGAATCTGCTGCTGTGTACAGTAACATATCAGACCTGGCCATGACCTCTGACCCGACACAGAGAAAAGGATCAGATAATCAGGATGGCGTTCACTACTCCAGCATTCAGTTCAAGCGCTCTCAGACAAAGAAAGAGGCTCCGCCCCCCGCTTCCACACTTCCTCTTTACATCATAGACGACCAGGATGTTCAGTATGCAGCTGTGAACTTCAGCAGAGACAGTGCTGCCCCCCAGTGAGGAAACCCCTTCATTACATCTACACTGATGCTCAACAATAACAATAATACTAACACAGGAATCAACCATTACCAACTCATTTCCTCAATCAAAATCAAGCTCATAGCAACATGAGAGCTCAATTAATCCTTTTCAGTCCATCAACAGCTGTACAAAAGAAAGAATAAACAAACAAAAGTTGTATTTATCTCAACAAGATGAATGTTTTTCACAGCATTATGCACACATGAACAACTGCACTTTAGTGTCAAAGATATATCCTGTTCTCTTGCAGTGTGAGTTTAAATATTCTTTAGAAATCCTTTCCATGTAGTGAATCATTGTAATAAACTTTGACGAAGAGAAGTTAGCATTGAAGAGAAATAAAATAATACAAAAAATTAAAGCCTTCTGAAATGAAACCACAACAGAGTAAAATGACAACAACAAAGTTTTGGTGCAAAATACAACATAACTGTCTGGTTGAACTCATGGTCCTCAAACAAAGTGAGAAGTGGATGTAAACAATTCCACTTGTTCTCTTATATTACCTCATTGTTTTCTTTAAGTGCGAACTCTGCTGCAGTGCAAAAAATAATATCAACAAGTGAACACTTCTTAAATGTAGTGAATAAATCTAATATTTCTCATGAGAATGTTGTAACAATATTATAAGATTATTCCACTTGTTTCTGTACATTTTTACTTGTTTTAAGAAATAATGAAGATAATTTTGCTTATTTCAAGAAATAATGCTTAAAACAAATATTTAACACACTGGAGAAAATATTATATATAAATATATATAAATATATTTTTAACTTTAAAACACAGCATATTCTCATGTGGTGCAGCTGTCTTATAGCTCGTCTGAATGTACATAACAGGTCTTCTAAGGCAGCATTATTACTGATTCCCTTCCACACATTTTATACATTACTTTAACCCAATTACTTTTTTTGAATGCCACAAACACTCGAGCACAGGGTTTAAAAAGACTTTCTGTCCACAGGCGTCTGGATACAGAAGCAGATGAAGATCCATCTCAGACCTACAGCCAGATCCAAAAACACAAATCTTCATCAAAAGCAGCATAACACACTCACTGTGGAGAGGATCTGGATTCTGGATGGAGATTTAGATATTTCATCAAAATCAGTCAGAAGAAAGACATGGAGGACTTTAAGTACTGTCTCTGAATTTAGGGGAGTGTTTTGCTTATTTATCTTTTAAATATATAACTATTATTTAAGGTTATTAGTGTGGTTCTGTATTAATTATTTGGTAACACTTTCTATGAATGTCACCTTTGTAAGCATCTATAAACACATTTATAACATGTTACAAATGCATTACAAACGTGGTTATAAATATTTATAAAAATGAATTACACTTAATTACACTTTATAGCCATGTTTATTATACATTATGAATCGTTAATATAATGCATTATAAATAGTGTTAATAACATGTTATAATGTCAGTGCCAAAGAAGTCAGTCCCAGCTTGGAGAGCGTAAAGTGAAGACAAATACCAAGCTAACGGTGGTGTACATTACCTTTCCCACATTGGGTAAAACACTGATGGCAGCTCTAGTTTAAACTCTGACATTTGAAGCCTGTAATGAGCTTTACTGTGAATGTTTTAGTGTTTCAGTAAATCCTTCAGTAAATACTTCAACTTGAAGCCTCACTCTGAACACTGGAGGAGGCTTTAGTACAGTACGCTTCACTTTACTTAGAGCGGACAAATACGACTTATGAGCTCTTATAATTTGTTATGAACAGTACTTATAATGTATTATGTTAACAATTCATAATGCATAATAAGCATGGCTATAACGTGTAATGCATTTTTATAAATATTTATAGCCATGTTTATAATGCCTTATGAATGCATTATAACATGTTATGAATGTGTTTATAGATGCTTACAAAGGTGACATTCATAGAAAGTGTTACCTTATTTTATACAGATGGGCAGACAGACAGACAGGTAGACAGACGGTGGTCATTGTATGGGCATTGTTTTGATGATGGACAGGATGAAAATGACCACACCAGGAAAAACAGCCTGCAAGTCCAGGTGGTTCCACTTATAGTGCCTGTAGTCCAGGTAGAAGTGAGGAAAATCTGATTGGGCTGGTACAGTTATTCTGCCTCAAATGTCATTTCAGATCAGACTTGATCCAATAAATATCATGTAAATAGCTGAATTGTCATAGTTATGCAGAGAGCCCAATAAATGTGCCATCATTTTCACTCTTTAATGAAGAATAAATTCTGAAAAATAATAGTCATTATTTTTGAATTTGTGGTGACACTTTATTTTAAGTGGCCCTGTTTAGATCAAACACACTCAACAGACTCTCAGAAACATGTCAAAAACATGTGAGGTTTAGGATTAGGTTTTGGGTTGAGGTTAGGATTAGAGCCTGGATGAGGGTTAGGATTAGAGCCAGGGTGAGAGTTAAGAATAAGTTTTGGGTTGAAATTAAGGTTGGGGTTAGGATTAGGGCCAGGGTGAGGGTTAGGATTAGGTTTTGGGTTAAGGTTGAGGCTGGATTAGGATTAGAGCCAGGGTAAAGGTTAGGATTAGGTTTTTGGGTGAGGTTAAGGTTAGGATTAGAGCCAAGGTGAGGGTTAGGATTAAGTTTTGGAATGAGGTTAAGGTTAGGGCTAGCTAGATAGCTTGATAAGATAAGATAGCTACAGTCATTAAGTGGAATGCAAAACATTAGCAAATTAGGTAAAATTACCTAATGACAATATGAGAGCAGATTTAAGCCACACCGACCTCAAGGCACATAAACAAAAACTGGCACCCAAAATATTTTTCAGAGATAAGCTGAGAAGGCAGCACTCTCAGCTACACTCAAAAATCATCAAATTTACAAGTGAACTTCCAAAAGCTTACTATTTTTTCTGATATTTTACAGTTGACTGACATGTTGACTGGCAGGGTGACAGAACCAAAGGCTGTTGCATCAAACCCAGACTTTACTGGTAGATGACGTAACACAATCTCCTCCCACGTCTGAGTGCCTAGTTTTGCCGTATCAGCAAAGTGTTACGGATTGTGTCGTTTTTGTAGTTTTTAATGAGTCAGATATGCAAGCTTTGCATCTTTCATGTGATGTTTTTAACTCCTCAAGTAGCCCAGACATGCTGGTGGGCCTGAACCTTTATTAAACGCTTCTGTAACTTAAAAATAACTTGAATAGGCAGTTTGATTCGCAAGCCATACTGAATAATAAGCCTTAGCATGTAATAAGCCTGGGATTTTAAGTGTATGAGGTTTATAAGTGTACAATTACTTGTACAAATAAACAGAAACTTGATTGTGTTTAAAAACATAACAGTAAATGAATGGTAAATGAAAGAAAGACCTTCTGTTTTCCCTTTAAATCTCAACACAGAAAAGGGAAGGAAGTTAAAGCTGGACTGCAGCAGCACATATTGACACAAACCGCACTCACGCTCTCCTCACAGCTCACAGCAGTGAGCTAGAAAAGAGTGAAAAGTCTTCATTAGAGAATGTAAGTAACGTTTTCTTTACTAGAGCTGTTCTATCTGTTCTAATTGTTTAAAACTGTGAGTAATCTAATTATCCAATTAAAGTTAAATGTAAAAGTTTGGGTGCTATGGTTAGTGTGGTTGGTGTGTGTATCAGTTCTGTTTCTGAACTTGAGCTCAGCAAGATTACAACATTTACTGAGGTATTCTTGTAATCATCAATGCATAATAACAACAACCAATGGCAAAATAACATGTTGAAGGAACAAAACTCTGAACAGAACTGTCCATTTCTCTCTCTGTATTAAACTCTGCTTAGTACACATTAAAGAACTTTTTTGTATTTGTAACTTTTGAAAATGGTTATGTAGAGCACCAGTTGTTACTACTGTCGCAATGTAAAGCTTGGAACAATAGGAGCTTTTTGGTGCTACATAGAACCATACACAACACATTCTCCATCAATCTGAAGGACCATTTTATCATTCAAAGAACAATTTAAGCATGGAAATTGTTATATACAGAACACATGGTTATAAACAGAACCATTGTCTTACCTACAAGGTCAGAAATAAAGGTTCTGTTCAGGTACATCTTTCGTTCATCAAGGTACAAACAGTGTAAATGTTCCCTCAAAGCTCCAACAGTGGTTTTAAGGTCTGATTGTGAACCTTAAATAAGTTTTCTCCAGGTGAAAAGTTCGTATTTGTACCTTTTCATAACCGAATGTTTTAAACAGAACAGTAAAATAAAAGCCTGGAGACGAGACGGGGTGTGTGGAGTCAGTACAGCTTAGAACATATCATTTCAGTGGATTATGGTTCAGTTATGTTCCCTGACTAAAGGTACTGAGATGGAGCCTTGAGGGTTCCACCCCAGTGACAAGAGGGGTCCTGCCCCAGTGACAGTTTAGTACCTTTACTTCTGAGAATGTAAAGAACCCTTGAAGAGCCATCTTTTTGTAAGTGTGTAGATCACTCTGGTCTGTGTCTCCCACAGTTCTATGGTGAATATTGTAGTTCTGTGAATAACTACTGAAAGACTGAATCTTGGTACTAAAATGAACAGAAAGCAGCTTTTTCTCCTTATGGAAAAATCACCGAAGTTCAGCCTTTTCTCTCTCAGAGCGACGCAGAGAAACTCGTAGCTGCATTTGTTCAGCAGAGTTGATCACTGTAATGCTCTTCTTACTGGAGAGAACAGTCCATCCTCTAGAACCCGTACAGAACGCAGCGTTCCTCACAGCACCAACACAGAGAGCTCATATTCCCCTGTTTACACGCTGCACTGACTGCCTGGATCTCTTAGAGAGAGTTTAAAGCTCTGCTGCTGGTTTTTAAAGCTCTAAATGACCTTAAAGCTCCTGAATGTTTGTCTGTTTATGATCTCAGATCTGCAGATACTCTGAAAACACTTTCCATAAAATACAGAAAACATGGAGAGACTCTGCTTCTAAACTGTGTATGCATACACACACCCTAGGGCAGCTCTTAGCCCCGCCCTCTCCAATCAGAGACCATAGCAAAATGAACCAAGTGCAATAAATGCAGGAAAACACAAAACCTAAAACTAACAAGACAAAACATTTCTGCCATCAGGCAGGATGTCCCATTTAGATGATGTTTTAGGTTTTATGACCTACACTGTAAAAAGCGGCTCGTCAGATCTTCCCTAAAAATTTATTTCATGTGGAAACAAGCAGTTGAACTAGTTTTATTCAACCTAAAATACTACATTGATTTAAAACATTTGCTCATTCAAAGTATTTATTTAGGTTGAATAAAACTAGTTAATTTATTTGTTACCACATGAAGTTATTTTTTAGGTAGATCTGATGAGCCGCGGTTTTACAGTGTAATTAAAAACTATTTAAACACTTACTTTAAATCATTTGTAAATAAATAAATGTATTTTTTTTTCTTGATCTTGTTGTAAAGTGGTATATTCTTGTAGTATATTGCAAATTAACAATTATCATACAAAATAAATGTGCAGAAAGGGCTCATTCTTAACAACTCAATTTTCTGTTTCTGCTGATATCAGGTCAGATGGAAGAATGAGCTTCAAATGTGGAATCATATCACTGATCATCCTGCTGAACATTACAGGTAGGATTATTCTGATTTTACTGAACTGCTGAGTTTATCAGAGCTTATCAGAGAGAGAGAGAGAGAGAGAGAGAGAGACAGACAGAGAGAGAGGGAGAGAGAGAGAGAGAGAAAGAGAGAGAATGGGTGGGCGAATATAAAGAGGGTGAAGTGTACAGATTGAGAGAGACGGAAAGAGAGAAAGACCGATAGAGAGAGAGAGAGAGAGAGAGAGAGAGAGAGAGAGAGAGACACTGGGTGGGTGAATACAAAAAGAGAGTAAGAATAAAAAAGCGTCTATAAAGCAGAAAGGTTATAAATCACCCAAATGAAGATTAGGTGATGGGCAGGTATTCAACACACAGACACAGTAATCTCAATATCAACACAAGAAATCAAAGAACAGCATCGGTGAATCTTTTGGTCATTCAGTTTTCCTTCCAAAACCAGTGTTGAAAATAGGAAGCAATTTTTGGTTCCCATTTTTGTTTCTGTTATTGTCAGAGTAAAAATCAAGAAGTAGCTTATAATATAGTATAGATTTACAGTCTAATCATAAAATCAAATAACAAACAAATAGAAATAGAATAAATGGTCATATTTTACTGATCAAAATTTATACCTTTCTATCACTTCAACCAGAAATAAACGTGCAGAGCGCTCGTATGGCTACATGAGCTCAGAAATCACAGAAATCAGGCCTGTTGTTTTTCCATATTAATAAAATATAGTATAACATGATAATGTAAAGAAAACAGACTCTAGTCATTTAATGGGAGGCTTTGTGCTGCTGATGCGCTCAAGTTCATGTTAAGAAGTATTTTCTCGGTGTTGTGCTGAGCTCTGACTTCTCTTTTGTATGTGCATCACACAGGTAAATGAGCACTAGATTACACTCACGATTTTGGTGGTTTCTGTGTGTAAATTATGGTTAATTCTCACTTTTCATTCACAGCAAACAGTTTAACAGCACCTAAAGCCCAACACAGTCTTACAGTGATAGTTTAATATAACGAAGATGTTGGTTGGTGCAGCACTTGGAGGATGGAATGTCGTTCAATCAAAATGATCAGTGCTGTAGTGTCTTGGGGAAAAAGAAGACAGAAAGAGGCCAAGATTCTGATATGAGGAGTGCTCGTTATTTACACCAGCAGAAAAGACACATCAGAGCAGCTCGTTAAGAGGGAAGGTCACTTTTAACCTGCATCTCTGCTTCATGGTAAAACTTAACCCAAAAAACTAAACCCACAGTTTGACACAGAATAACACAAATAATACATACGCACATTATAGACTAACAGAACAACAAAATTAACAGCATTAAACCACAACAATGTCCCTTTTTACAAGGGGTGGAGGAGCCCATGCTGCAGTTTTGCATTATCCACCCCTAAAGCTCCTTTTCCAAAACTGGAGCAGCTGCCACATTATTATAAGACCGCCATGAACACAGGATAGAGCACAGCTCACTGTTTTTCCACCTCTGACGACATGACATTACAGTATTCCTTTTTCTCCTCGTTATTGGGCAATGTGACTTTCAGTTCTCTTTTATTTCACTGTAAAATTGCAGGACTCCTCTAGGAGTGTCTCTTACCCATATCGCTTCAGTTTGTTGCTGATAGAACAGGCTGTGTCAAATAAACAAACACCTAAAAATGTCACATAGCCTCTCAAAATGTCAGAATTAGGCCTATCGTCTCAATACTCATACCACGTCTTTCTGTGTTTATAATTTTCAAACTGTAATCTGCCAGTTTTCTGAGCTTCTGTGGCTATATATGCACTCTGCATGTATATTTATGGTTGAAGTGATTGAAATGTTTAAATTTGGTTAAGTAAAATATGACCCTTTATTCTACTTCTGTTTGTTTGTTATATGCGTTTATGATTAGTTGTGAAACTGTAAAACAGAGCTATTTCTTGATTTTTCCACTGACAATAACAGAAGCAAAAATAAGAACCATCTCATTTTTCTGTTTGTCAATACTGGTTTTGAAATGAAAATCGAATGACCAAAAGATACATGAACTGAACAGGAACTAAAAAAGGAACTAGACAAGACTAGAAAACATACTAATGAATAGACCAATGAGTGCTTGCTCAGAACTGTAGAGATTACAGCCAAACAACCTTTACAAACCTGAAAACAAAGCCAGAAAAAGGGATAATATTTATTTTTGGAGGCAGTTTAACAACAGGACACAGGTCAATATTATAATGAGGAGGTGGAGAAAGGGTGGAGCCAATTTGACATACATAGAGGAGGGATTTTGTGACATATTTATTCCTTTTAGTAGAGCTAAATACAACCCCATTTCCAGAAAAGTTGGAACGCTGTGCAAAATGTAAATAAAAACAGATTGCAATGATTTGCAAATCATTTAAACCCTATACTTTAATGCAAAATAGTACAAAGACAACATATCAAATGTTGAAAATGAAAAATTATATTGCTTTTTCATATATATGCCCATTTTGAATTTGATGCCAACAGCACGTTCCAAAACAGTTGGGATGGTGGCTACAAAAGGCTGGTAAAGTGATGTTATGATAAAAAAAAAAACACCCGGTGGTTGATTGGCAACAGGTCAGTAACATGATTGGGTATAAAAGAGCATCTCAGAGAGGCTGAGTCTTTCAGAATTAAAGATGAGGAGGGGTTCACCACTCTGTGGAAGACTGCATGATCAAGTAGTGCAACAATTCAAGAATAACGTTTCTCAACATAAAACAGCAAAGAACTTTTGCTTTTCATCATCTACAGTACATAATATCATTAAAAGATTTAGAGAATCTGGAGAAATCTCTGTATGTAAGGGACGAGGCTGAAAACCAGTATTAGCTGGCCGTGATCTTTGGGCCCTCAGGCAGCACTGCATTAAAAACAGACATGATTCTGTAGTGGAAATCACTGCATGGGCTCAGAAACACTTCTGAAAAACACTGTCTGTGAGAAACAGTTCATCACTGCATCCACAAATGCAAGTTAAAACTCTAAAACACAAAGAAGAAACCAAATATAAACAGGATCCAGAAACGCTGCCACCTTCTCTGGGCCTGATCTCATTTAAAATGGACTGAGTGGGAAGTGGAAAAGTGTCCTGTGGTCCAACGAATCAACATTTGAAATTCTTTTTGGAAATCATGGACACTGTGTGCTCCGGGCTAAAGACCACTCAGCTTGTTATCAGTGCACAGTTCAAAAGCCAGTATTCGTGATGGTCTAGGGGGCATTAGTGCACATGGCATGGGTGACGTGCACATCTGTGAAGGCACCATTAATGCTGAATGATATATACATGTTTTGGCAACATATGCTGCCATCCAGACGACGTCTTTTTCAGAGAGGGCCTTGATTATTTCAGCAAGACGATGTGAAACCACATTCTGCATGTATTACAACAGCATTGCTCCATATTAAAAGAGACCGGGTGCTAAACTGACCTGCCTGCAGTCCAGACCTGTCACTACTGAAAACATTTGGCACATTATAAAATGAAAAATATGACAAACTTTCAAAACTACAGCAGTGTCTCCTCAGTTCCCAAACGCTTACAGAGTGCTGTTAAAAGAAGAGGTGATAAACTCAGCGGTAAACATGCCCCCAAATTTTTTGGAACATGTTGTTGGCATCAAATTAAAAATGGTATATTTTTAAAAAAACAAAATTTCTCAGTTTCAACATTTGATATGTTGTCTTTGTAGTATTTTCCTTTAAAAATATGGTGTATATGATTTGCACATCCTATTTATATTTACATTCTGCACAACTTCCCAACTTTTTTGGAAACGGGATTAAATAGTAATTAAATAGCTTTCTTTCTAATGCTAGTCGACAATTCTGAAAGGTTGCACTGCAGTTCTACATGAAACTTGTTACTTGAGTTGCCATAATTTATGTGATATATGGCTTAACACACAACAAACTATTGATGACCAGTGTGCTTCCCAAAAACCAACAGACAGAGGAGTTTAATCCACGTGAAGGCCTGCAGTTACTAAGTGGGTTTTGCTGTCAATGTTAAAAATAACCTACTCAAAATTAGAATTGGCATTAGTTCTATTTTATGCAAGGTTATGTTACTTTGATTTCTGGGATTCCTATATTTTCAGGTTCTTTGGCTGAGACTCTGAGAGTGACCTGCAGTCCTCAGACTATCTGTGCTCTACGGGAATCAACAGTGACCCTGCAGTGCTCTCACTCAAACACCACCATCAAACCTCAGTACAGCTTCTGGTTCAGCCCCAAACAGAGAGGTAAATGGAGGAACGAGGAAGATCCAGAGGATTTAGCTTTAGACTCAGACTACGCAGGACGAGTGAGATACACAACCAGCCGATACAGATACAGCTCCAGCACAAATCTTACAGTATCAGACCTGAGAGAGAGAGACTCAGGAGAATATCACCTCATGATCATTACAGAAACAGGACAGAAATATTCCAGCTCAACAGCAGTTACTCTAACAGTTTCAGGTAATACAGCTCAACTACAGTAATCTGATAATTTGTACATGTTTGTGTGAAATATTTGTCTAAAGTATTTGCTGTAACTTTATTTTCACTCAGATCTGCTGTTGTTAGCTGCTGACACTGACATACACACAAAACGGACACTCAACTGTAGCACTTCCTGCAGACTGACCTCTAAACCTAGTTATTACGGCTTGTACAGAAATGGAAAATATGTGGACTGGACATCTACATCTCAGAGGGCATTGAGTGTAAATAACAGGACTGCTCCTGGCAGCTACATGTGCTCTGCTAGTAGCCATACTGAAATCCATTCCAACACAGTGTGTGAGTAAGAAAGCTGATCAGAACTAATTATTTGTGAGCCAATCAAATCAGAGGGTGATAATCTTTCTCTTTTACAGGTATTAATGATGAGAACTGCTGGAGTGTGACCTACTCAGACAGAAGAGTCTGTGCTTTGGAGGGTTCATCAGTGGACTTTCTCTGCACTTACTCATATCCCAGAGATCAGACAGTTAATAAAACTTTCTGGCATTACTTTC